ATTGTATCTGGTCAAACACAATCTTTTCCAAAAATGTACTAAGTGTAGGTAACAGGCTGATTGGTCGGCTATTTGAGCCAGTAAAGGGGGCTTTACTATTCTTGGGTAGCGGAATTACTTTTGCTTCCCTCCAGGGCTGAGGGCACACGCTTTCTAGTAGGTTTAGATTGAAGATATGGCAAATAGGAGTGGCAATATCATCCACTATTATTCTCATAAATGTTCAATCCAAGTTGTCAGGCCCCGGTGGCTTGTCATTGTTGATAGACAACAATATATTTTTTTACTTCTCACTTTACGGAATTCAAAATTAAAATGCTTGTCTTTGATAATTTGATCAGTTATACTTGGATGTGTAGTGTCAGCGTTTTAAGTCTAATATTACGGGTAATGGAGTCGCCAATGACTAGGGTTTTCAAGTTGTCCGAGCTTATGGTGGGAGGCTTCGGCGGCTCAGACCCCGTAACGGGTGGAGGAGAGACCTGAGAAGTCTCTGACTCGTTGCTTAGTGGGAAAAACCGGTTGAAAGTTTCTATCGACTGAATGAGCGACAACGGTTGAGCATGCCGACAGTATTTCTTTACAGAAGCCGTGAGAGAATTGTCCGGCTGCGGGGACTGTGCAGGGGGATTTACACTACTAACTGTATTTACTGGTGGCACAGACGCTGTTTCATCCTTTCCTACACTTAAATTGCCCTTGACTAACGATTGCGTCTGAAGCCGGGCTTGCAACTCGGCTATCCTCACAATAAGGCGATAGTTCTCCTGTATATTATGAGTACGCGACGGCAATGAGAAGGCATAATGCTACTTAGCTTTTTCGGTTGGAGGAGTCTGGCAGATCCATGCCAGATAAAGCGTCCGGGGTGAAAAAGTTTAATGAAAAAGGACAAAGCTAAGACGTTAGTAAACTTGTTAAATATAGAGTTTGATTAAACGGTTATTAAAAATTAAAAAGTGAGAAAGTTTGGCAGGTAGCCAAGTAGCCATGTAGCCATCAATATTTCATGGGATATCTTCACAAATAACATCTTATTTCAAGCCATCAATGACCTTAATTCTGTATTTATAACTACATGGTACCTGTAGACATACTATACATAATTGTATGTTTTAGTATGTAGACTGTTTATACTCTGTTTAGTCCTGGCTTCAACTCTCTAATGCCTGTTTTCCCCTGGCTTCAAACTCTCTTAATATGTTATATAGGGTTGGAAAGACGAAGGAATGCTGCAGAGAAATGTTACCACACCTGCTTTACCTCCATGCAGCCTTACGTGAAGTGTCTCTAATGGAGGATGGAATCTAGGCTTTCCTTTTTAAACATAACGTGGAACAGTATAACAAAAACATGAATCAATAATATGCTGTTCTGAGGATAAAACAATTTTATGGCAGATCTGTATAGAAACAAGAAACAAAAACCCCAGATTAGGATTAAAAACATTCTCCGCTCGGTAGATTGGATCTTAAATGCTATGTGATTGTGCCCTTTCATTTGATTATCTCATTGAAATAAGAACCCTTTGATGAAATTAATGAGGTTGGGGACACCCTCAACAATCAGGTAGCGATTACATAATGCTCATAATGCTCATTTTGGGGGCCATTTTTAACCCCCCCCCAAAACAATCTGGGAGGATTTAGCTAATCCTTTTAGCCCTGTGTGTGTGTGAGTGTGATTGTGTGTGTGTGTGTGTGTGTGTGTGTGTGCTTGCCTGCGTGCGTGGGTGGGTGTTTTTACCCATGCCTCCAAAGATGGAAGTATACTCAGACATCACGTTGTTGTTGAAGAGACCCCTGCCTCACGGAGCCCAGGTCGGCCGCTGACGATTTAATTGTGAAATTGATACCTGCCGCCTTGGTCTGGCTGTCAGGGAGACCGTTTCCCATCAGCCCTGATGTGTGATTTGTCCCCCAGACTGTATGTGAGGCGGCCTGGCTCCCGTTCAAGACCCTCTCCCTCTCTCTCTCTCTCGGTTTCTCATTCTCGGCTAATCCATTTCGCGGCACTGTCTGAGACATGCACTTTTCAATATGGCTGCTGTCCCATGACTCATTCCCACTTTGAGATTCTATAATTCTTCTCCTCTAATGGAACTTTCGAAAGCAGAGAATGAGTATATGAGAGACAGAGAGAGAGAGATAGAGAGAGGAGAGAGAGAGAGAGAGAATAGATAGAGAGAAGAGAAGGAGAGAGAGAGAGGATAGAGATGACTGGAGAGAGCACGTCAGCAGGGTATCGAAGGGAACTCGGGGTCGAGCGAGAGTCTTCGAATGTCTCATCTCGCTATCCTATCATCTCTCTCTCTCTCGTCGTCATCTTCTATCTAGTCTTCTCGCTCTCCTCCTTCTCTCTATCTCTCTCGTTCCCGACCCGATCTCTCTCGTTCCCAGCGAGGTACCTATGTATTTGCCTGCCATAGCCTGAGGGACACTGAATAATAACATCTGCATAGTAAAAAGTAACGTACTTATTATTGTTTGTTATTGCTATTATTGTTATTATCATTATTATTGTTTGTTTATCATTCCAAAGTAGTGGTATGGGTGGTAATGGTAATGATGGCAGTTCAATTATGGTGGTGGTAGTAGTGGTAGTAATGATGATGGTAGGTGTAGTACTGATATAATGGTAAAGATGACCGTTATTTAGTTATAAGTTAGTTTATAGTTTTCATTTTCCATATTTAGATTTGTATATTTATTATATTTATACTATTGACTGTTACCATTTTATTGTTGTTATTTATTTATTATTATTTACTACCATTTTTATTATTATTTGTTATTATTTATTATTTTATTACAATGTATATTGTATACATTGTTGCTTTGGCAATATTGACGCAATGTTTTTCATGCCAATAAAGCAGCTTGAATTGATTTTTTTTTTTTAATTGACAGGGAGGGGGGAAGATAGATTTTTTTCACACAGTGTTAATGCTGACAGTCGACTTCAAAGGTCCCTACGTGACGTCGGGCACATTGAGGGGTAGACTCGGGATTGGCCAGATTTTCGGCTGCCCCCTCTTCGAATACACACCAGCCCTGTCACACCCCTGCGCATGACAGCTACCCCCCGAACCCTTCCCCAAACT